AGTTACAGACTCGTTTTATGATGTCTTTTTTTAAATTGGGGATTCCAATGAAGTGGTTTTGAAGTATTTAATTGAAATCTCTTTAATACCACTTCCCAGGCACCTGACTCTGCCTCTGCTGAGATAATACTTTGAGCTCATCAACCAAGAATGCAACGGGGGAAAAAAATACCCATTGCTAACCCAAGTTTTAGTGTAGCTTATAAAATTACGTGGAAGAAATAATCAGAGAGGCATGAGAACAAGTAGTAGGGTGTTTCAAAAGGCAAAAGGAAAGAGAATGAAAAGAATTCAGTTCAAACGCAAATGCGAGATCAACGTTGGAGCAGTTTCAGGACACTGGTGACGTCGGGCTATAGCACGTTGCTACCTTGGGAAAGGCAGAAAGAGTATGTCTTTGTGGCCCTTATACAGGAGCTGCTTATTTAGTTTTCCCAAGACAGGATTTTTCATTAGCTCTCTACGATTATTCTCTTTTTTGTTTTTCCTCAATTTATAGAGGGATCTAGATGACCTACTAGTCTAACCCCTCAGGCATTTTCCTAGGATTGGCTTTCAGCTGCTTCTAAATGATGTGACTGCCAGGAAAGTACTACTGCATCACCTCGGGCCTTTCTAGACGCTTTTCTAGGAAGAGATGATGCACCAATTGTTTCCTAACCCAAATGCTATAAATGCACAAGACTGTAGAATACTGGACTGGTTGGCCAGGTGCGGTGGCTCACGCCTGTAATCCCAGCACTTTGGAAGCTGAGGTGGGCGGATCACGAGGTCAGGAGTTTGAGACCAGCCTGGCCAAGATGGTGAAACCCTGTCTCTACTAAAAATACAAAAAATTAGCCAGGCGTGGTGGCGGGCGCCTGTAATGCCAGCTACTCGGGAGGCTGAGGCAGGAGAATTGCTTGAACCCGGGAAGTGAAGGTTGCAGTGAGCCAAGATTGCACCATTGCACTCCAGCCCAGGCAACAATACGAGACTCCATCTCAAAAAAAAAAAAAAAAAAAAAAAAAAAAAAAAAAAAAAAAAGAATACTGGACTGGTTTAATTATTCTTCAAGGTAAATGGTAAGTCAAAGAAGAATGAACGTATTTGAGGAACAGATGTCCAAAGCAGGATTCGTGTCCTCTAATGTAAGGCTAAGAATAAAACAGAAAATTTTTATTATTGTGTGGGTTCTATTTAATGAAAAAAACACATTATAAATCATTAAAAATAATCTTAGAAAATTAAAAAAGAAAAATCAAAATGAAATCCTAGAGAGTGACTTTTTCAAATAATTCTGACAGATCCACTGCGGCATCCACCAGCCTTCAAAGTCTGCTTTATTATCTTCTCACAATCCTTTCAAACTCTAGCTACTACAAAACAAAGTAATCCAAATTGTGCTATGTGCTTTACAAATAATTGTAAACGGCTCATGCCTGTAATCCCAGCACTTTGGGAGGCCGAGGCGGGCGGATCACAAGGTCAAGAGATCGACACCATCCTGGCTAACACGGTGAAACCCCATCTGTATCAAAAATACAAAAAAATTAGCCGGGCGAGGTGGCGGGCGCCTGTAGTCCTAGCTACTCGTGAGGCTGAGGCAGGAGAATGGCATGAACCTAGGAGGCGGAGCTTGCAGTGAGCCGAGATCACGCCACTGCACTCCAGCCTGGGTGACAGAGCGAGACTCCATCTCAAAAAAATAAAAAATAAAATAAAATAAAATTGTAAATAATTAAAAATAATTGTAAAATAAAGGAATACGTTAATCTATAATACTAATATTCGGCTAAATTTTTGGTGACTCTGCTATTTTCAAGGATATAGAAAGGCTTCATTAATCATAACTGAAATCAGGACATAGTCAAAGAATCAAACGAGCAGCTTCAGCTTGGCTTCAATAACAAAACATTTAGAAACGTCTACAACTACCAACTATTCCAGTGAGATCTTTTCAAAGCAGGAAACTGGGATACAGTATCTTGTGTACTGCATATTAGCTTTAGAAATAGCCCTCAAAGATAGGTGCATATTGGTTCAGTTTTGTTTAAAAGAACATTTTTGCACATTATAATCTGTAAAATGTGTCATATTTATGGAGAAATCTTAGGTGTATGTACATAATTGCAATTCCTTTATAAACTTGCATCTGAAATCAGTGAGAAGTTTGCTAAGACAAGGATAGTACAGAATCACTGTGATAATCTAACTAGAGTTTCAAGGTAAAGAAGCAATAGATTTTAAATTTTGTATTTTTCCAGCACTAGCTTTATAGCTAGCACCAATCATACCTCTCATAGAAGAAACTAAGCTGCAAACCTATAGCAGTTAAAAATTAAGTTATTCTACCATTTGATACAGCCATCCCACTACTGGGTATACACCACCCCAAAATTAAATCATTATATAAAAAGATACCTGTAGTCATATGTTTATCACAGCACTATTCACTATAGCAAAGTTATGGAACCAATGTAAGTGTCCATCAACTGATGACTAAATGAAAAAAATGTGGTCATATATATAATGGAATACTACCCAGCCATAAAAAATGAAATAATGTCTTCTACAGCAACATGGATGGAACTAGAGGTCATTATTTTAAGCAAAAAAAAAAAAAAAATTCAGAAGTAAGAAGTCAAATACTACATGTTCTCAATGATAAGTGGAGCTAAATATGTGTGCACGTGGACATAGAGTGTGGAATAACAGTCACTGGAGACTTGGAAGGGTGAGAGAGTGGGAGGGGGTTGGCATGAGAAATTACTTAATGGGTACAATGTACACTATTCAGGTGATGGTTCCATTAAAAGCTCAGACTTCACTACTACACAGTATATCCATGTACCAAATCTGCACTTGTACCTTTTAAATTTATACAAATAAAAAAAATAGGTTCTCATTTATCTTGGAAGAGTGAATTATTTCCAAAAGTTTTAAATGGATCCAAACCTCTACTTAACTGTCATTTTGCAGTCTCATTAGAAAATACGTGAAGGTGAGGACTCAGGTTTTACCATGAAATCCTTTTCTCCTACTAGATTGCAGCTCCTTAAACTGGGTTATAATGTGTGACTACATTTCAGTTAATTAGATGTTGAGCTAAATGCTAAAAATGTTTGAAGAGATTAGGTAGATGACTTCGACACATTCCAGTACACAAGCTCACCTGCACTGCACTGTGTACACTGCACTGTGTACTGCAACTCTAAAAGTTGAAGGTACTAAAAAATGACAGGGTAATGAACTTCAGCATAGAAAAACAATGCAATACTACACTTAGGCCAGCAGATGTCTCTCTACAACCCATAGCACCAACCGAGAGATAACCAGGTATCTAACAGCACAGAAGGACTGATCTTATTCAAAATGGTAAACAAAAGGATTCTTAGGTTTTGATCAGGAGAAGAATGTTCAAGTTCAGACAGAAAGTTGAGGGAACAGTAGGTGAGAAAATAGAAACAGAAGCTTATTACAAAAGGAAGGAGAGAGCTTGGCACATAAAGAATAAAGTTAAAGCAGGTTCGAGGCATTTTCAGGGGTAAAAAAAAAAAGAAAAGCTGGACAAGTTAGAGAAGAATATCGGGAGAAAAGCAAGAAACCATGCATCCCTACCATAGCACTGAATACTGCAAGTTTGTCAAAGGACAACCAAATAGCAGGTTAAGAAATCCACTTTGCTGATGATGATGAACATTTAAAAGAGAGAAAAAGGAAAAAGAAAAGTGATAGAATATAAAAAATTCTATCCCAGCTTGCACATAGTAAAGGTCTTACTTCAGGAAACCACATACCCACATGTACAAATATGTGTGCTGGGCCCTAAGGTAACAGGTATTCCCTCCTGGGGGTTCAATTAAAAAGGTCTGAAAGCCATGGAGATGTTCAGTGCACCCCCAGTGCCCCACCTCTCCCTCATGCTAATAATGCCAGCTGCAAGACCTCCAAAACAGAAACGTAACTGTCAAAGGTAATATCCCAAAATCCCCGAAGGGAGACATGGTAAAACATACGTCATATTTAAAATTAATTATGTAAATTATGAAGCAGAAGTCAGGGCTGAGGAAGATGCAACATGAATGCCATGAGAGAAAAATCTAACTACCAGATGCGACTCTCAGCCCCATCTGTGGCATCTTTTCCCACCCTGAATAAAGGTATGACACCCTGGATAAAGGGGCTGAAGGGGAGCTGGCAGGAGAGACAGCAAGGCTGGGGACGAGGCAGATGGCAGGACCTACAGCATCTATCTGGGCAGGAACTGGTGAAGATCCAGAAAGATGGGAGTGGAGTGAGCAGAAAGATAACCCATTGAACGTCAAATCCCATCACCAAGTAGAGGACTGGACACGTAATATGCCCCTTATTAACGTCTGCTGAAGGTGTCAGTAGGTCTCAGCAATGCCGACAGTTTGATTACAATTACAGGAAGTTAGTGCCTAAGCAGGCATGATAGTTTGGAGCTTCTTATTCCAAGGATATCACCTGCCATCATCAGAAAATGGGAGTGCTGTGCTGCTTTTAACTCCATCCTCACCATCTTTAGTAACTGTCAGCCATTTCAGTAGCCACCTGGAAGCTACGCTATGCTCCCCGGGAACTACGTCTTCAAGAATTTTAAAGAAGTTTGTTCGGTTTCAAACTGGAAACCAATCTGACCCTTGGAAGGTCAAAGACAAAAATGAATGGGTGCTCAAGGACACAGGGTGCTCAAAGATGAAGACGTTTCAAAGAGGTTGGTTTTAAGGTACGTTTCTCAGAGCCACGACAACAGGCTTTACAGAGGCCATGTCAGAACTTACCAGTGATGTTCACACTTGCTTTAGGAGGAGAGTTTGCTTTTGTTGGGTATTTTTGGTTTGTATAACTGGTTTATTTGGGGCTTACGTACATTTAAAAGAACTTAGTAACAGCAAACACCTACGTACTGTTTACTATGTGCCATGTACTATTCTAGGCATTTCCAAATATTAACTTATTTAATAAATGTATATACAACTACTCATCTCAGTTACCTGTTCAGTGGTTTATTCTGTTTCACTAAAAGTATCACTGCTTCTTCCATTTTCCTCCTGCAAAATAGGAGGAAAATATCGTTAGAGAATAGGTACAAATGCACACAAAATGTTTTACATTATTATTTGCTATTTTCCAGACTCAGAGTGCCAAAAAGCCTTCATTGAACTTTAGCCAATTATTTCGGCTGTCTAATTTTACTGAGTTCCTAAATAGAATCTTAAGAAAACATAATTACTACATACACAGATAATAAGAGATTTGAAAAACAAATAACTTGTGGCTTCAAAAGAAATTAAGGTGACACAATAAAAAGATGCACAGGGAAACAACTTAGAATAAGACGCTCCTGGACTCTGAATCCTTCTACATTTGATATGCCTTTTCAAACCACACTCCTTCAAGTTCTTTTTCAGGTGGTCACTATGTTTCCTCACTACGTGAAATAATTGCTGTTCTAAAGATAGAAACAATTGGTGGATTTGGTTTTGAAGATTTACTTAAAATTTTAAAAAAATAATGGAAAGCATTTGTCAAAAAAAGAGGTTATTCCCCAGAAAAGGTAATTGTTCATAATCTCTGGCAGGTGACATTTACCTTTGGGAACTCATGAGTGTCTAGGTTCTGTCCCTGAAATCTCTGGCTCCAAACGTCTCTCTAAGGTACCAGAGATGATCACATTGATCAATACCGATTCATGCTAACAAAGCTCTTAAGAGACTGATAAGGCCCAAATGGTGAAGTATTCACTTATAATGAAAAATGCAATTGTCAGATATCCTGGACACTTGCTCCATCCAGTTTGGAAGCCAGTAAATCCTAGGCATAGGCACCTCACAGGCAGGCAAAGATTAGGGCAAATTAACGGCAGATTGCTCAGTGAGCATATCGGAGCAGTCACCACCTAGATGCCAATGGCCTCCAAAACAATCTCTAGCCAAGCATTATCCTACCTTCACCACCACCACCATCCTAGTCCAGGCTGCCATTGTTCTTTGTCCTGGACAAACACAAAACACTTCTTGCTGTTTTCCCAGCTTCCACACTTCCTCCCTTCCAATTCATTATGCACGTGTCCAGAGTAAACCCTTTGTTTGTTTTGGAGACAGGGTCCCACTGTCAGTAAGGCTGGAGTGCAGTACTACAATCATAGCTCACTGTAGCCTCAAACTCGAGGGCTCAAGCGATCCTCCCACCTCAGCCTCCCAAGTTGCTGAGATAAGGTACAAGTGTGCACTACGATGCCCACTCATTTTTTATTTTTTGTAGGTCTTGCTATGTTGCCCAGGCTAGCCTGGAACTCCCGGCCTCAAGTGATCCTCCTGCCTCAGCTTCCCGAGATGCTGGGCTATAGGTATGAGCCACCATGCCTGGCACAAAAGAAACCTTTTAAAATAGAAAACAGATCGTGGCTGAGCCCTGCCTAAACCCCCGCTTTAGTGCTCTGCATTGGTCTATGATAAACGTAGGTGATGACTCTTGGCCCTGCTGCGGCCCTGCCCGCTCCATGCACCACTCTCCCTTGTCATCCTCTCACTTCAGCCACGCTGGTCTCCTTTCACTCCTATGAATAAACGAGATCCATCAACACCTCAGAGGTTTTGCACACCTTATTTTCTCTCCTTGAAAATTAACGCACACATTCTGCCCTCCCTCCCCTGACATACATGCCTACCCAGGAACCTGTGCGTTCTCACTCCAGTTACATGATCCCACGACTAGGACAAATTCCCCTATGCTAAGCTCCCAGGACACCTTGACCTTCTCCACCAGAGCACTTGAACAGTTTGTAACTACACGTAACTACGCATTACGCATTTATTTAATTTAGATCCCTCTCTCTCACTAGACTATAAGAAGCTCCATGAGGGTGGACACTGAGCTCATTTTATTAGTATGTTCCCTGGCAGTGACTACTCAACAGATATGTTCTTGAATGAATGGTGGCTTTGGGCTTTCAGAATCTATTGCCAAATTGATTCCAAAAACAGGGACACAGGGCTCTGCTGAAGGGGCTCCATCCCCCACATTGTGCGCCCCCACCACTGGGTCACCAGTAATTAGATGGGCATTGTCTACATTCACTTCTGTAAATTTTTGTGTCCTACACTTCCATGGCCAAAATAAATCTTCAGATCTTAAAAAAGAAATAGCACAAAGTTCAAGACACATTTGGGTAGCAACCCAGCAGAGAGGACTCACAGCAGTGGGTTACTAAGAAACACTATAAACAAAAAGGAAAACAAATTTCAGCCAAAGGAAGTCCTTGGTGAAACAACCCTGGCGAGTGGATACACATACACACACAGACCAAAGCAGTGGCTCTCAGAGGAGGGTGCGTGAGATCCTGGGTTTGCTGCGGGATGCCGCCACAACCAGGGGGCAACAGCAAGGCAATGTGAGATCCTAGGAGGAGGCCCCACTCCCTGCCCCTCCCATCGCCAGGGCCTGCCCCGCATGCTTGGCACACAGGAGACCCAGCGTGCACTGAGTGTGGTGCTCTCCCATTTGCCTAACAAACCAACAATTAATGGGCATTTCCTAACTCACTGCATAGAGTGTTTTAAGTGGCTCACAGTTGTGGTTGATTTTTATACGACGTTCTAACATTTCAATCTTCTTATGTGATAGAACAAAACCGGTGGGAAGAAACCTCATAATACATTTGGCTCTAAATTCATAACTAGTTATGGGGTTAAAGAGGGTCAATTTCATTCACCCTTTCAAAATTGTGTGCACTGCAAATAGTGTGCACCTCATTCCAGGTGGTGTGGATAGGCACTGAACGAAACAAAAGGCCTTTTCAAGAAGTTAACATTCTGGAAGGAGACTGACAATAAATACTAAAGTAAAAGATAAAACCCATCAGATGACAATACGTGGTATGAAGAAAAGCAAAGCAAGAGAAGGTGACAGAGACTGTGTGTGTGTTAGGGGTAGGGGGTGGGAGTCAACGTTTAAATAGGGCGTTCAAGGAAAGTCTCCCTGAGAAACTGCCGTATGAGCAAAGATCTGAAGACTGTGGAGAAGAGACCCATGCAGACATCTTGGGAAGGGCAGTTCCAGACAGAGGAACCAGCAAGTGCAAAGGGCCTGAGGCTGAAGCACGGCCTGTCTTGGGGCATATGAGGGAACAGTAATAGGAGGTGAGATCCTAGATGTGAGCAAGGGGTTTCATAGTCCAGCACTAAAGACTGTTGGCTTTGATTCTGAGAGCCACGGAATTCAACTGAGGTGATGCATGCAGCACCCTGCCCCATGGAATGCTGGAGAGGGGCAGCGACGTGATCTGGCTGTGTTGAGAATAAACTGAAAAGAAGGCAAGGAGGCAGCTAGGCCAGTGACCAGGCTACTGGGACAATGCAGCTAGGAGAGGACAAGGGCTTGGACTAGGTGCGCCAGCACAGGTGCTGAAACAGTTGTTGGGGTCTTCGCAGAGCTTGAAGCACAGGCCCTGGAGCTAACTCTCACTTCCCTAAGGGCTGATCTTAGCGATCTTAATGCTCTTCTCACTAACCATGCTTTTTGTTTTAATTAGTACTTTTAGAAAAGAAAATTTAGTGGGTTTTAATCTGCTACAGAAGTAATAGATGATCAGGCTGGGCATGTTGACTCACGCCTGTAATCCCAGGACTTTGGGAGGCTGAGGCAGGTGGATCACCTGAGGTCAGGAACTCAAGACCAGCCTGGCCAACATGCTGAAACTCTGTTTCTACTAAAAATGCAAAAACTAGCCAGACGTGGTGGTATACCCTTGTAATCCCAGCTGCTCAGGAGGCTGAGGTGGGAGCATTGCTTGAACCCAGGAGGCAGAGGCTGCAACAAGCTGAGATTGCGCCACTGCACTCCAGCATGGGCAACAGAGCGAGACCCTGTCTCAAAAAAAAAAAAAAAAAAAAAAAAAAAAAAGTAATAGATGATCTTTATAGAGAGTGCAAAAGGTCAAGCAAATCAAACCTTTGCATCACATTATAAAAGAACTTAACATACAAGTGCTTCTTATACTGGTCACCACCATATATTAGCATTTTAAATCTACTGTGAAAAGGAAAGACTTCTCCCCTAGGTGAGCAGAAAGATCAGTCCATACACATGACCATGGTAGTTAACGACTCTGTGTAACAAAAGGTTTTCCACTTGAAGACCTATTGATATACAGCAGGACAAACACCAAAGAGAAGTACTGTATTCTTAAAACCAAGCTGAGGTCAGTATGGGCTAACCCTGAAATGTTTCAGCTGCGCCCGTTTGAGATCGATGAAGAAATGTTTGGCCCATCACTCACAAAACCACACTTTGCTGCACACAGACTTTCTCTGAGAGACACATATGATGATAATATAATGTAAAGTAAAATTTAGATATGGTGAAATTCTTTAAAAATGAAATAAAGTACCCTTTTTAGTCTCTGCATTGTTGATTAACACGGGCTTAAAAAAAGGGGGGGGGGGGGGGCAAGCTGTAACCAGCACTTTGAGCGAGAGGCGGAAAAGAGATGAACAGCTGCAATAGGGAACCCGCTCATAAAAAAAAAAAAAAAAACGGGGAGGGGGGGCCTGTGTCCAGTACTCGGGGTGAGCAGAGATGCGTAGCCCGGGAGGCGGGTTGCAGTGAGCTGAGTGGCACCACTCCAGGGGCGAGAGACATCCGTCTCAAAAAAAAAAAAAAAAAAAAAAAAGGGGGGGTGGGGGGGAAGCTCAGTGTGCAGAACTGTCGTCATGGAAACCATCCTACTCCAGGGCAGGGGAGCAGCTCTTCATGACTCTCATCTGTTTGGGAGACAAAGCCACGTCCTCCCCTAATCAGAACATTGCTGTTTAGTCAAACATGATGACTTGGCCTGGTGTGTAGCTGCAAACAAAATTAAACTGTGATTCTCAACATTTGACTCTTATGGCTGATATGCCATATTTGTTTAGCTTCTCTTGAACAGAGCTACCAACAGATCAGTCACTCATGGTGACTCAGGGAATATCAATTGTCCACTAGAGCAGAGCTTTTCAAACTCCCAGGTGCACAGGAGCTGCCTGCAAGCCTGTTAAAAAGCAGATTCTTA